CGTCCGAAAAGCGTATAACGATAATATAAAAGAATACAACTTCGTTATAAACAATTAAAAGGTCTTAAGTAATAAAAGCAATTAAATTATAAACTAAATCAAAGAGACGGTTAAAAGCTTTATTCTCGAAGAAGCGATTTTAGCGGTTTTAAAAGAAAACAATACTTTTATTTAATTTTTAATAAAAAAGCTTTAAGAAATATGCCGTTTATTTGACTCAAGCTTTAAGCTATCGATAGCACGAGATTATAATAAATCTTTATAAATAGCTAAGCAAAAGAGCGTCTTTTTAACGGTATAAATCAAAAAACACCGAGTTATTTATAAGTTAGCGAAAATAAACAACTTTTACGAGACGACGAATATATTCGCGATAAGAGCATTTTTAAAAGGTATTAACGAAAAATAATTATTAATTTAAGCGTCGTTAAAGCTCGTAAAAGTCATTCGAAACGACGAGCTGTTATTGCTTTAAAAGCGCACCTTTTACGACTATTTTAATTAATACGAAAGCTAAATTAACGAAAAGACTAGCAATCTGAACTTTAACCTTCTTAATATATTCGCTCCTTTCGGAGATTAAACGATTCGCAGCATTTTCGGAAGTAATAAAGCTAACGATATTGCTTTTAAGCAGTCCGGTAAACGCTTCGATAGCTTTAAAAGACTTGCTAAAAGTTTTAAATGCTCGTGCTTTAGAAAAAGAATACACTATTAAAATGCAATTAAGTACAAGATCCTTCGCTATTGCTTTAACGGTCTTAACGAAAGTAGATTCGCAAAGCCGAACCGAGATGATATCGTCGTTATAAAAAAGAAGCTTTAAAAGCTTAAGTTTAAAGCGCTTTAAAAAAAGATTACGAAAAAAGGTTAAGTATAAATTCAAGTCGATAAGATCGTTTTAAAAAGCAAAGAAAAGCAATCGAACGATAACGATAAGTTAAAATACTTTAAAAAAGTATTAATAGTTATTATCGATCTTAAGCTCTTTAACACGCTCGATAATCTTGTTTTTAACGGTCTTTATAGCACGGCTGATAATAAGCATCAGCTATTTAATAGCACTTTTTTCGATAATTGCGGCGCTACTTACTTTATTAACGATAAAAATCTTTTAGTATTAAAGTCAATTCAACGCTTTCGCTTAACCGACTTTATCGAAGCTAAAACGAGTAGTTTCTTAATCGTCGAGCGAAGTATTAGAGTCTTTAAAAGAGTTTTAAACGGACTAAATAAAATTAAAACGGAAGATTTAAAGTTAAAAAACGTCGCTGTCGTTATAAAGTTTAATATTAATATCATCTCGAAAGCTTTTTTAAGCAAAGCTAGCGTATAATACTCGAGATATGACGCAACTCTTCGTTATAAAAAAGTTAAAAAAAGCGTCGTATTAAAAAAGTTAAAAAAGAAGTTTAACTTTACGTTCTTTAAATACAAGCTATTCAACTATTCTTTACTTTAATTGATTCGTAGCTCTTTTTACTTAATAATATTCCTTATAACTTAAAAGCGCTTGTAAACACGCTATAAATTCTAAAAGAGCAATATATTCCGAACTTTAAAAAAAAATTCATCGATATTCTAGCATTTACGAATAAGTCATCTAAGCAAAAAAGCGCTCGAAGCGCTAGCTTATAACGTTAAAAAGATAAGACTTAAAAGAATTATTAAAGTTAAATATAAAGCATATGCTATTACGCACGCTTAACAAGTCATATCTCGCCGCACGTTAAACAATAAAGCAACTAAGCTATTTTACAAGATCGCTTAAAATCTATTCGATTTCTTTAATAGTTTCGACGAAAGCAAATAGTTATTAATAATTAAAGATAAATATAATAAAAAGCTATTCGGCTTTATATTAAAAGACAAATTGCAATTGACGGCTATAAAAGTATTAAAAGAATTCGAAGCATAAACGAAACGCAAATATAATCTTTTAATAGCTATTATACGCTATAATAACGATTCTTCGGTAATCGCAATCAACGTTATCGGCTTTATCGAATATCAAAAATAAGCGAAAGAAGTCGAAATCGAATTAAAGCTTTTATTATCTTTTAATTACGAACTTAATAAAAGAGCCGAAAAAGCTAAAAGAAAAGTAATAAAACGGTCTATCAAAATGAGAATAAAAGCAAGGCTCTTAGAAAAGCTTTAGCTTAAGACTATATTAACCGCTATCTACTTTTATAATATAATACCGAAAGCGAAAAGCTTTATAAAGAGTCCGAATAAAGTGCTACAGCTTTAATTCAAGCAATATTTTAAGTAATACGATCCGGCGATCTTTATACGGATCGACACCGACTTAAGACCAGATTATAGCGATTTAGTTGCGTATAGCGCTCGTGCGTACTTAATAATTAAAGACCGAAAAGCTTTTCGCAATAAAAAAGCTTTTAAAGTTAAATCGAAAGGACATATAAGCTATTTAATTAAATATATAGCTTTCAATATATATAAAGTCTATGTTCTTATGCTTTATAAAGTGATTGTTATACGCAACGTAACGTTCGATAAAACTTAATTTTATCTTAAAGACGAAAAAAAATCGGTCGGCTAATTGATTAACGAAATCAAAAGCATCGTTATTAAACTAAAAAATATTAAAGACTTTAATTAAACAAAAGACGCTTTATTTAATATAAAGAACGTTGCAAAGGATCGCTTAAAAGAGACGAATACAACTGATATAAAAAGTGAGCAACCGTTAGACCTTATAAAAGTTGACTTAAAAGGATCTAGTTAAAGCTTAAGGAATGCGACTTTATTTAATCCGAGCGATGCATAAACGTTAAGAGCTTTAACTTTAATTAAAAACTTTATAAATACGTTTATATTAAAAGCAATTGCTTTACGAGACGATTTAATAGATTTTAACGATTCGAACTACACCGCTAAACGTCTCGCCAGCTTTTTAATTAAAAGCAAAAGCGAAAGTGCTTTAAGACTGCTAAAAGCAAAGAAGAGCACCGTAAACGAGCAAAAACTTAGCTTTAATAAAGAAGCGCGCAAATCATACTTTTAAGTTGTTATTTAAAGCTGAAGCCCGGAGAGCTAAGCTATAAGCCGACTAACAGAAGCTTTTACGTTAATAACCGGCGGAAATTCAAATCGAATAATCAAAAAAGAGCTTTTAAACTTTTTTAAAGCGAGTATTAATAATAAGAAATTGAATTATAAACACTTTAAATAAAATTCCGACTTTAATAAAGAGCATTCACTTATTAATAGCCGTATTAGAAAACGCGCGAAGATATACGCAAGTATTAATAAGCTTTTTTTAAATAATTCTCGCGCCGATTCGAATTGCTATTCGCGCGTCTTAGATTTTGTATCGACTTTCTAAGTTAATAACGAACTCGTGCGCGAAGATAATAAAGATTACGAGATATTATACGCTGTTATAGCAGCTGCTACCTCGTTTAAGCTGTTATTAAAACAGCTCAACTCGTAAGAACGAAAACATTTAAAACCTTTTACTTATTAAAAAGAGCTATAACGATACTTATACGGTAAAGAGTTCAAGGACAGAGCTCTTATAAAGCTGAATAATTTAGAAAAAAAGAACTGCTAGAAAGTGATTCTCGAAAGCGAAGCTAAGTCAAAACTTATACTTTTTAAATAAGTGTTCATATATAAAACTAGCTCGTCCGAAAAGATCGTAAAGTTCAGATCGAAGATTGTTATTAAAAGTGACTTTTAAAACGAATCTACTATCTATTTAATTTACGCGGCTACGCTAATAGCTAGATCTTTTAAGATCATAATAGCTATAGCAGCCGAATTTAACTTAAAAGTAAAACAATTCGATATCGTTAACGCTTTTATTAACGTTATAAAACATACGGACAGCGTTTTAATTACGTATTATTTCTTTAACGGTTTTAAGCAAAAAAGTATACTCGTAAAAGTCGATAAAGCCTTATATAAACTCAAAGACTCGCCAGCTTTATAGTATTTCGATTTTATAAGCACATTCGATAAATTAAAGTTTATATTACTCGATAAAGAACCGTGTATTTTCACGAATTTAAATAAAACGGTCTTTATAACGTTTTACGTAAACGATATTCAAGTTATATACTATTACTTTAATCTTTTTAAAGCGCAAGAGATTATTAACGGTCTTAATAAAGCGTATAAAATCGAAGCGATAAGAAATATTAAATAGTTTTTTAATATAAAAATCGCTCGAAACCGTTAGCGAAGAACGCTAACGCTTATGCACGACGCTTATATTAAAAAAATAGCTAAGAAATTCGAACTCACGGACGGACGCTGCTTAGCAACTTTATTACCGTTTTATAATTTAATCAAGAATGAAAAGATAGCTTCGCGAAAGCAAGTAAAAGAGTATTAAAAGAAGGTTAAATCCGTGCTATATATAGCGATTATGCTACGCTTAGATATAGCTTTTGCAGCCTCTCAACTCTTTTATTTTAGTATTAATTTAAGCGTAAAGCACTTCCGAGCTATAAACTAGTATTTGCGATATTTATTTAACTCGCGCTTCAAAAGTATTTAATATAATTAATTTAGCAAGTCGGAGTTAGTAATAGCCTTTAACGCTTCTTACGCCGATAACGAAGAGATAAAGCGATCTTTTCAAAAGTATATTATATTTTTATTCGAAAGTGCGATTTTTTAAAAAGCTTTAAAGCAAGATACAATTATTATATCATCTATTAAAGCGAAGCTTTTTAGCATAGCTTTTATAATAAAAAAGATTATAGCGCTTTAACGGTTTTTCAAAGAGCTGCACCTTTGTTTTGCGGCGCTTTGAGTAATCTATTATAATAATCAATAAATAATCAAGCTTATAGCTAATAAGAAAGAGCGTATCTCTATTAAGCTTCGCTACGTCGATATTTATAATATATAGCTGCGTTAAAAGCACTTCAAAAGGAGCTTTCAAGTTCAATATCTTTTTATTAAAAAGATGCACGCTAACGGTCTTATAAAGAACTTGATTCGATAGAAGTTTAAGAGCTTTATTAAGCTCTTAAATTTATAAGACGCTCGCGCGTCAATCGAAAAGCTTTAATAGCACGCATATACTATTTATTTATTACATTTTATTTTATTTTTTTTTTGTACGTAATTCAAAAGAAAATATTTATTTAATAATTTTAATCGTTATTCTATCTTATCTTATACGCTTTTACCTTTCGCCTTTTATAATAAAAGATCGACTAAAGCTCTTAGCAATTTCTTCACCTTAGCCCGGCGCTCCGCAAGAGTTATAGCAACGGCGGGCGCCGCCGCGAGAGCGGCAAGCGCAACGATTAGCGTAAAGAAAGCGACGATAATAAGTACGACGGAAGCGACGGGAGCTGCGGAGGCGACGAGAGCAACGAAAGCGACAAAAGCAACAAAAGCGGTTAGCGTAGGCTGCTCCATGGGGTGGGGGCCCTATAGGGTTTTCCTCCCCATTCCTCCTATAAGGTCTTGGCCGATAAGGGACTTTTTTTTTAAACTTTATAAAGAGGATTTTTTTAAGTCAAATTCCTTACGAAGGATGGGGAAACCTTATAGGTTTAAAGTGGGACAGCTAAAAATAATATATATAGGGCCGTTAAAAATAAAATAAATTTACGAATATTTATTAATTTTACTTAATTATTATATTTATTTATTATATTTATTAATCATATATGTTATACTTTACAATTACATTGCATTATATTATAATAAACTAAAATTACTAAACAAAACTTCTAGTTATGATTTCCCGCAATTTCTTAACTAACGCTATATCTTTGTTTTAAATCGTTATTCGTTTAGCGTAAATAATATATAAGTTCGTTATTAAAAGTGATTAGTAAATCGATTAATAAATAAATATATAAGTACTTACTTTTAAACTCTCTTACGAAGAATGCTTTTAAAGCTTTTTGTAAACATTTTAAAACACCGCTTTAAAATTTAAAGTTTTGTTTAAAATCGTAAGTGATCTCTTAAACAAGACGCTAGAAAGGAGTCTTTTTAATAAAAAGCTCGATGCTTTTTTAGTATCGTCGGATCTCTTTTAACGCAATAGCTATATAAATTAATAATTATACTTAAGAATTAATTTATTAATTGATTAAACTTACTTTTTAGCTTATAGCGACGGCGCTTTCGTTAGCTTAAACTTTTTTTTTTCGTAATAATTGCAGACTTCTTAAGATACTTGCCTTTTTTAAATTTTTAACGAAAAAAAGTTTTAACTGCCGAAAGTGATTTGCTAGCTGATAGAACGGAGCGAGCAGCTTTAGCCGTCGAGAATGATTTTTTAGCTTTTTTATATTAAAAGAAAAGAATATCATTTTCATTTAAGTTTTCTTTATTATCGCTTTGCTTTTTTTCATTTATATTATTATAAAGCATCGTCTTCGTCGCGGTTTTTATAACTATAATTGGGCTCGAGACAATAAAAGACCTTTTAAGAGCTTTTTACGCGAAAGCTTTTTTAATGCGATTGTTAATAAAAGCAAAAAAAGGTTTAGCAGCTGCAAAAAAATTATTTCTAATACTTAAGTCGTAAGACGGATCTTCGTTTTAAAGCTGAGCTAATGCACTCGCTTAGCTCGTCGATTATTATATTGCTTTTAAAGTAGTTTTAAAACAATTAGCGAACGAAAGAAAAAGATTTAAAAAGATTAAACTTATTAAAAGCTATTAGTACTTATACTAGTATTATCAAAAACGATGCTTTTGTTTATTTCGGATTGAATAGCCGAAGTAAATCTAATTGCGTTTGCTAAAGAAAAATTTAATTAATAAATATTTATTAATTATAAGTTAAAAACATTACCGGATCGAGGTTTAAGAGATAATAAGTGCTAGTTTATATTTGCGCGAGAGTTTATTAGTATTTAAAAAGCGTTACTTAAAATGATAAAAATTAGCAATTATTAATTAATAAAGTAATTAATACTTATTAGCTTAACCTTAAGAAATTCGGCGAGAAAAGGACGAAGATAAATCGGTTCTTTATTATAAACTTGCAATACCGCGCGAGGTTTTAAGAATTTTTATAAATGCTTATTAATTATTTGCAATTGATTTATTAATTAATTTACTAATCAAATACTAATCGAATAGCTATCGAATTATAATAGCGCGGCGCTTAGCAAAAGTAAAGTTAAGAATTTCTGTAAATGCTTATTAGCTATTTGCAATTGATTTATTAATCAATTTATTAATTAAATATTAATCGGATAGCTATCGAATTATAATAGCGCAGCGCTTAACAAAAGTAAAGTCTAGCGCATCCGTAGCTAATTGAGCTTTGCTAGATTAAAGATAAGGATTTGCGCTAAGCAAAGTAACTGAAAAAGTATTAATAATACTTCGATTAATTAAATATAAACTTACTTTATTTACTTTGCAAATTTAAGTTTTCTTTTTTTACGCTTTCGCCGCGTATTATATCTGCTTCACCTTTTTATGCTTCGTCCTTATTTGCTTGACTCTTAGCCGCTTAACCTTTAGCCGCTTGACCCTTAGCCGCTTGACTTTCAGCCGCTTGACCTTTAATCGCTTGATTCTTAATTGCTTTATTAATTAACTTATTTTAACTTGCGTTATCTTTTTTAATCGTAATGCTTAGTATATCGATAAAAAGAGGTCGGTCCGAAAGCAAAAGTTCGTTTAATAAAAAAGCTATTTGAAAGTATTAATAAAAAGACTTGATCGCGATAATCTAATTTACGATTAATAAGTTAATAATTTTAAACAAGAAAAGGACGACTTTATAAAGCAATAAATAGCGTTGTATTCAAAAGCGTAGCAAATAAGAAAGCGATAGTTATAATTAATTATTAAATAATAATAAAAAGAAATCAGACTTTACTTTATAAAGTAAAAATTGCGCGAAGCGGCCGCTTTATCTTAGTTGCGGCCGCTTTATCTTAGCTGCGGCTGCTTTATCACTTCGTAAATTCACTAGCGGCCGCGCTAAGATATTTTAAAAATAAAATGTACGAGTTTACTTTTAACTTTAACACTTTTATTCTATTACCTTTAATTTTACTTTAAATAATTAATCTTAACGTTTAGCTTTTTTATAATATTATTTAATATAGCCGCTTATTAGCTTGATTCGATAAAAGGTATTATTGCAAATATAAATAAGCTTAATTTAATAGAAAAGATTGAAAAATCTATAATAAGAATCATTTTCTTATTTATTAATTTATTTACTAATTAAAAACGTCTTTTTTAAAATGCGGCCGATACGACGGTAATCGTAGCGGTAAGCAATCCGGTGCTAAGAAACTTTGGCAAGCGTAAAGTAAATATCTTTTTACGTAATATTTTAACTTTTATTAATTTATTAATTTTTCTTAAAAAGGAAAGCTAAAGAAAGGCTAATTATTAACTAATCTTTATACGATAAAAGCTAATGCTCGTATAGCAAAGCTGAAACAAGATCTTTAAGCAGATAAGCTTCGAAAAGCTAAAGGACGAGATCAAGCGGCCGCTAATCAGCTTTTTGCAATTTAAAAATAAATTCTAAAATATTCTTAAGCATTAAAAGCTAAAAGGAAAACTCGATAAGCCGAAATGCGAAAGAATCTTATAAATAAACAGTACTTTTTCTTTTTTTTGATTTACTAAGCAATTTACTAATCGATTTTAAAAAAAATCGAAGCATTTACGCAGATAATCTTGCTATGCAAGCCGCTTCTTTTACAACTAGATTCAATAATAGAAAATACTTAAATAGCGATTAAATTGATAAAGCATTCAATTTAAACGAAAAGGTTTATAAAGAATTTAATTTGCGAAAAGACGAAAAAGAAAATAATAATATACTTCGCGATAGATACGTTTCGATTATCGATAAAAAGATAAAGAAAGTCACTCGGCAATTAGCACGTTAGCACGCATAAATAAGCTTTTATTTCATTTAAATATTTATATTTTGCTAATAATATAAAGTCACGTTATATAATAATCGTTTAGCAATTTCGTCGCTATTAGCAAAATGTAGCGCGGTCTTTGTTAATAAAGTGCCGAGCTGCTAATTTAAAGAGTAAAGAAGTTTTCTTTAAATTAATAGCTTAAGACTTAATAAGCACGGTTTCAAAACGAACTAAGTAAGAATTCATTTTATTATGCTTTTAATCAATTAAACTAATATTATAACTTTTAGTTTTTATTTAATCAAGCTTCTTTACGTCTACTTTTCCTTTAATAAAAAGAAGTATTAGCGAGCTAAAATTAAAACAAATACCGATAAGATTAAATACGAATTGCCGAGTCTAGCCGCTTAGTAAAATATAAAAAGATTCGAAAAGAATATTAAATTTAAAAAAGCTGATTGCGATCTTATTTTATTTTAACGCGTTATGCAATTGATTTAAAAAAAAGACGAGCTAGCTCCGAAGTTATTTTACGGCGTTAAGAATAGCGATACGGAATTAAGATCATTCTTAAATTCAATGCTTAAGTTTATGTAGAATAGAATTTACGATTAATTACAAATTTTGTATTTTATAAAAATACTTCTATTTATCTTATTTATTAATTATATTTATTAATAATACTTATTAATTATATTTACTTATTATATTTACTAATTATATTTATTAATCATATTTACTAATCATATTTACTAATCATATTTACTAATCGTCGGTTTTTTGTATAACGATACGCTAAGTCTTTTAGACGCACTTTATATGCGCTAAATTACTTCTTTTTTTTTCTTTCGTATTCTTCGTATTTTCTTATTCTTCGCTTTTAACTTATAAACTATAGTTTACGAATCCTTAGCGCTTTTACCTTCGTATATATAGACCTTAGCTACCTTCGACTTTTACACTCGGTAATTATTGATTTTAAATCATTACTTTAAGATTCTTTTAAGCTTTTATATAAACCTTCGCGCTCTCGTAAGTTCCTTTAAGTAATCGCTTAAGGTCGTCATATCTTGAAGTTTTGAATTAAAAGAATTAACCGACTTGCTGTATTTAAAATCGATATAAATATATTAATAAATTATTTTAATATTTATATTTATAAATTATATTTAAAGTTAATTATATATATATTTTATTTAATATAATAACGATTTTAAAACTATTTATATAAACTTATTTATTAATTTATAATAATGAAATTCAAGAGGCTTTCGCAAGCTATCGAATTTATTACTTTCCTTTTTTGCGATACTTTTTTTTTATATATAAAAAGTCTTTTGCCCGCTAATAATACTAATTCTATAATATCCGTCGTTATATTCGTTTTTATTAATTTATTTAATAGATAGCTTAATTTTATAACTGTTATTTAAAAATCGCTTAACTCGATATTCGTTTATTCTAATTAACTAGCTACGATTACGCCCTTCTTCGTTTAGCATTTTTATTGCATACCGAGCGTTTCGACCGTTCGTTCGTTTAATAAAA